TCGCACATGTGCTACCTTTTATCAATATTGCCACTCATGTAGTAATACAGATTAAAATAATATTTTTACAACTTTCAAGGTTTTTAGTGCATTCAAAAAACATTAGGTTGGCTTCAATTTTACTTCCATTTACAAAATTGAACCAAATTTGAAATTGTCCATTTTCAATCCTCAAAAAAATGAACTATGATGATACATGCAAGATGGAATTGAGAGCCTTAAAATGAGTCATCCATTTATAAATGAAACCAATCACTAAAGAAAAATGCTGGACTGGAACGTGCATTTCAGCACTGAGAAACAGCGATAAATGTGTTCTAAGCCAGTGGTTGTGAACCTATGGCACACATCTTATTTACTTTTCTTTTAAGACAAAAGATGTTTGGGTATGAGTTACATTTTTCTGAACTGAAATTTTAATATTCAGGTTTAATTACAATGTGGTACTTTGCAATAAGTAAGTGAGTTTCCTGTTGTAGTTTTGGCACTTGTCTCTGAAACATTCTCTGTTCTCTAAAACTGTCCTAGGCTGTGCTGATCGATTTTTGTGGTCTTAGTGTACATTTGGCTTTCACTTTGTGGTGACATTGACCTTTAAATGCATAATTTCTTCCTACTAGGTCTGATGAGTAACTCCTTTCTGGATCACATATTATCACATTTATTTTCTACCCTTGTGTACTGGTCTGTTAGCTTGTACAAGTAACTGTGTAAACTTGAATGAATATCACACCTAGCCCAGCATCTTTTCATATCTCTGCATCTTTGCCATGCTCTCTCTTTCAAGTCCTTAAGAAAGGTTTTCAGTCATCTTTCCCATCTGCAATCTGATCATGTCCCTCTCTTATTCAGGGTTTATGAATGGCTAGCCATTATAGTGGAGGAAAATTGAATCTGGTTCACATCACCTGCACAGGAGGCTCCAGAGGACCTGGCCTTGACTTTGGGGTGCCTTCATCCACTGCTCTTTCGCAGCTTCTGGATTTCTGAGATCCTGCATTAACCTGGTTTTCTAACTCATATGCCTTAGCCCCTGCTATGTCCCCCAAAGTTGCATTTCTTTATTTTTTTCTTACTGTATTTAGGGCAGGTTCTACAGGGTGTTCAGGGTCTCACTACGTAGATCGGACTCATAGTGATTCTCCTGTTTACAGCCTCCCAAGTGCTGAGATTACAGGCATGTGTCACTGTTTCGAACCAGCGGGTCAGTCAATGAAGGTCACCTGGGGGAGGAGCGGGGAATTGAAGAGGGGATAAAGGACAGGAGATGCGAGAAATGGAGAAAAGACAAAGATTCTGATCAAGCCTCGTTTATTTAGGGGAGGTTCTGGGTGTATATAGGGGGTGATGGAATGAGGAAGTCTCAGCTCTTGGTGTCAGCAGGTATCTAGGCAATGGGGAAGGTCCAACCCCTGGGGCATAGCACGTGATTCACGGGGAATGGACAAGGTGAGAAGGGCCATAAACTTGACTCAGCAGGGGAATAGAATGGATACCGGTTAATGGCCTCCAACATGTCACCACTTCCTGTCTCAGCACTCCCAGGGGCAGGGCTGGCACAGCACACTGGGGATCAAACCTGGCCACTGCGCTCTGCTTAAGCAGGCACTTTAGTCTGCTGAGCTATCAGGCTGCTCCCAAAGTTGCATTTCTACTAGACAAGCGCTCATCCCTTGTAGTTAACTTTCATGTCTCTGGTAAAATGCTATTTTCTGTTTAAAGCTTTGCTTGATCTCCAGACAGATGGCAAATTCTGTCTCTAGGTACCAATTGTTTTTTGGTATGATTTTGAGCATAAAAATTTGTGTACTTTATAGATTGCTTGCATTCTTTCTCCTTGAAGATTGACTCTGAAGGCAAGGACTGTTTTGTCATCTTGATAATCCCACGCTGAATACAGTGCTCAGCATGTCATAGATGCTCATTACATACTTACTGAATTAATTACACTAGAAGGCAGAGAGGATAAAGACCAAATATTTCTTTTAGGAATTGGTTTATTTCAGTAGCAAGCTAGAGTTCAAAGATTGGCAAACTACATCAGTCAAACCCAGCCTGCAGTCTCCTTTTGAAAATAAGGTTTTGTTGAAATATGCCACACTCATTCATTTATAAATCATCTATGGCTACATTTGTGCCCAAAGCGAAGTTGAGAAGTTGTGACAGAGATCACATGGCCCACAAAACCTAAAATATTTACTGTCTGGCTCTTGAGAGAAGAAGAGTGTCAACCCCTGCCATTGATAATTGAGTCCATTTTAGTTCATGTTTATAACTGTATCTTGATGTAGCAAATAACTAATTGGCCCCTTTGCATCACTACATTTCTTATCTAAAAGTCACAGACTGTAGAGAGCCCATGCCACGAATCGCGGCTTCAGAACCAAAACTCCTAGGGACCATTGGGTGAGGCCTGCTGCAGCCCTTGAAGCCTGCGCTAGATTACCCCTCCCACCGAGTGTGCCAAGATGGCGCTCATTTCCTGCTTCCACAGTCGCTATACACCCGCCTATAATGATGTAAGATACCTTCCCTGAGATTGTAACCAATGGCGCTGTAACATGTATCAACCCTCGATTGGACAGTGTGAGGATATAAAAGAAACGCTGCGCGACGCGGAGGGTCAGAGACAGGAAGAGGGACGGAGAGAGGAACTGTGCTCTCTCGGGGCGCATCACTCAGGAGAACGATTAAAGCCTTTCCGCCGCACAAATCGTGTTGAGTGCTTTCCTGCTGGACGGGAGGGCGCCCGACAACAGACTTCTCTGGGACTTCTCATTTGGGAGAAGTACAGTTCACCAATAACATAACTCATGGTATCCTCAGCTTAGAGAATGTGAATGACAAGCATAGACAAGGCCTAAGTCCCCAACTCAACTTTTTTTAATGTGAGCTTAGTCTAGTTACACCAAAAACAAAATAAAACAACAGAAATTCAAAATACAATTTTGAATTTGAACTAAAGAATTTCCTTTAGTTCACCAAGCATACCTGTGCTCTGCTCATTCTGCCGAGATTTGCTCCCGCATGCCTCTCCCCACCTCCCCTCACATACCATCTTCCCTGTGCCCCCAGAACCCATTAGGACAGCAGTGTCTGCAGGTGGAAGCTCAAGTATGTCAGGACAAACAGAATCCCTCACTGCCTTTAGCCCTTGCTCAATGTTTCCTGCCCTAGCCATCTAAAACAATACATCCTTTTGCTACACTCCCATGCTCCAAGAGGTTTTTCCTCCCTAGCAGTTACCCATATTTAGCACACTACACTTCTTCCTTACCTTCCTCATTTTCTGTTTCTTCTAGAGTATAATAGCTCCATTTTTGAAGAAATAAACACAATGGCACATAGAAAGGGGAAAATGTCAATGAATTTGTGTGGTACCATAACTCTTTGCAGTGAACATCCTAGGCAGGAAGTTGCCACCAGTAGGTATCAACACTATCTTAACAGTGGCTGGGCCAGTCTTTTTGTCTCTCTTTCTAAGGTGAGTGACTTATTCAAGATGGCATAGTTTCAAGAGATTCGGTGGGCCACCACCTCTTTGTCTCCTGAGCAACTCTTTTTGATTGATGAAGAATTTTGTCTCTTCATATCTTTGATGCTCTGGCTTGTTCCTATGTTTTACAGAAAGGTCACTTCAATAAGAGGACACTGTATTTCAGAGAATGCTAAGGAGCCCTTCCTTAAGCCATCGCTCTGTCACTGTCTGTACTGGGGGTGACCCAACCCTCTTGTGCACAGCAGAGCTGGGTGTGAGTGCACACAAGTGCACTCTTACAGTTGTAGCAATCTTGGCTTCGACTCTGTGATGTAGACTATTTTAACATCAAATGTTTCTATAAATACACATGCTTGCTGATCTCATACTTATTGGAGTTAACACAGCTCCTGAGATCACTCTAAATAGAAAGACAGGCTCAAAAATTTACCCTGGAGTTTAACGCCGTAGATTCTTAGCTTGACACTTTATAATATGAAAAAAAAATGACTTAAAATCCCTTTCATCTACCTTGTTATATTGATGCATTATTATGATTTAAGTATTTTTATTATTATAAGTATCTGCTTTACTACATATTAAAGTAAATGTCAGCCTTGCTTATACATATTCTTGGGTTTTGCCCCCACAGATTTAACTAACCATGGTTCAAAAAGGTTCCAAAGGTAAAAGAAATTGCAACTGTATCAACCATGTACAGGATTTTTCTAATCATTATTCCTAAGCAATATAGTATAACAACTATTTACAGACCAATTACATTATATAAGGAATTAAAAGTAATCAAGGATGATTCAAATTATGCAGAAAGTTGTACATGGCTTATATGCATGCCATTTTAAATAAAAGATTTGAGCATCTGTTTATTTTTGTAACTACAGGAGTCCTGGAACCAATCCGGGATGGAAACAAGGAGAATTAAGATTAACATATTACAATTAGTATATATTAGTATGTAGTATATTATTAGATGTAATTAATAAATGTATTATTTTAAATGATGTTATGAAATTAAATTTTATATAAGACAGGGTAAAAGGTTGGCTACTTCATCAGGTCATTAGGTAGATTAACTATGAAGTCCCGGACACAATTGTTGGTACATGGGGAGCTCTCAAATGCAATTGTTCACCTCTCTAGGGTACATGACACCAATTAGCACAGTTTTTCATGTTACTGAGTTAGACTAAGCATCCCATACAGTTCCTATGAAAGGAAGGCATACATAGGAGACTTTCAACATCTTTCCACTTAGGTTTTTTTGGCCAGCATATGCATCACTAGAGATCATTTAACCCTGTAGCTGCTTTAGATTTTGGTCTGTGTTACTGGTTGAGAAAAATCCATGCAAATTGAGAGGATTTATTTTGGGGACTCAAATACCAATTACGGAACACAAAGATGAAATGTGTCTGCCTTGGTTACTGACTAGGAGAAAGCATGAAGCTTGTGAGAAGTAGGTGAACTGTGTAAAGGCTGATGTTTTTCCTTTGGCCTGCAGGGTGATTTCACCTGGAACAGCATGTCGGGCCGCAGCGTGCGGCTGAGGACAGTCCCCATCCAGAGTCTCTCAGAACTGGAGCGGGCCCGGCTGCAGGAAGTGGCTTTTTATCAGTTGCAGCAGGACTGTGACCTGAGCTGTCAGATTACCATTCCCAAAGGTAAGGCCCTGTCTGCCTTTCTGCTGGAGAACACTGCAAGCCAAACATCTGCTCTGCCAAAGCCACAAGCTCCAAACTCTTCTCATACCTACCATTAACACAGGAAGGAAACTCCAACTTTGATCGTTGGCTTGCATTCATGTGCATTTTGAAAGACGTGTCCAAGTAGGACAGTTTGCATGTCAGCTAACACATTTGATGAAATGTGAAGTCAACTTGCAGCCTTCTACAGAGAAGCAGTGGTCCTCACGAACTTCACCAAAACCAATAAGACAACTTTCAGGAAGGGCAAACTAAAGGGTTGGAAGAAAAGCTGGGTCTGTCTAAATTTGATTGCAAAATCAACACATGAAAAGAATGCCTTGCCACTGTGTCATACTTGTCATTTCACCTTATGAAAATTTAGCATCAAGGGTTTTATGGAGATGAACCTCTTTGACCCCAGTCTTTCACCCTGTGAGTCTAGTTTGGGCTTCACTCTGATACTAGAGCCAAGGCACACCTGCCTAGCTGATTTCTGATACTGCTTCTGAACCAGTAAAGATGAGATGCTTGCACTTGCATTCTTTCAATGCACAAAAGGTTTTTTTCCCATAATTTTATTGAGAAACAAGTAGCAATAAGACAGTTTCAAATCAAATTAGTAGGACAGTTTCAATAATTAACACATTGCATACTGTCTTTCTAGTGGTTATTTGTTGTACAAGATGCAGACATAATATCCTATTTACAAACACTATTAGAACAAATCCCTCTATTCATTGAATTAAAAGAATGTAGTTATATATTTATCCTATTTTGAATACACAGATACAAAATGGTCATTCATCTATATCCCCTTTTATTATTTAGTTCTGTCATTTGAATATTATAGGTCTGTGAACTCAGCAAAGTATTCCAAAATAGTCCAGTAGTCCATAATAGTATTGGGTATTCCACTTGATTGGCAATGTTAGAAGTTGCTGACCTGAGTCCCCTGCAGCTCAACATAATAACAAGGCTTTATTTCTTACACTGTTTTTATACTTTTCTGCTGGATGGTTAAGACCAAGATAAAGCAAGACCTATGTAATAAGAGTTGTAGCTTTTGGATCTGATAATGTCAGTCAAATACCCTGAGGATTTATCCTGAGACCCTGTACCTCAGATTGTGGATCCTTTGTCAGTGTCAGCCATGTGGATGAGTCAATGCATAAAAGTCTATACCTTAGGTAGAATTAAAGACTGATGTTACACAAATATTGACCCATAAAAAGTAACATTGGCCAGTGTGCTTGAAAAATAAACGAAAGGAGGAAGATATCAAGTTATGAAAAACTATGCTCTTGATAAGTACTTGTTTACTCATCAAGTAATCATAGAAACATATGAATACAGAGACACAAATGACTACATCCATACACAGAGACACATATATGTGCATACATGTACATATACACATATATACACAGATATGTGATTCTCTCTCTCTCTCTCTCTCTCTCTCTCTCTCTCTCTCTCTCTCTCTCTCTTGGCAGAACTGGGGATTGAACTCAGGCCCTTGTGCTTGCCAGGCAAGCGCTTATTCTACTGAGCCATCTCCCAGGCCCCAGTGAGCTATCTCCCCGGCCTCATGATTGTCAAACTGTGATGATTTTATCTCCTATCCACAGGGGACTACTGCCAATTTCTGTACACATATTTGGTTGTCGCAGCTTGTGATAAGGGTACTACTGGAATCTAGTTAATAGGACCATGGATGCTTCTAAATACCAAAGTATATACAAGATATATCCCCAGGCAAGAATAATCAAGCTTCAAATATATGTGTACCGAGTTGAACAACATTACCTCTCTTATCTGTGCATAACAGAAAGAATGCTGGGCACCAACTTTTAGAAACTCTAGTCAGCCCACACACATGTAAGTTGAGCAGTTTGGCTCTGCAGTAGGAGGCCTGATTCTTTGACCAGGAGTAATGCAAACACATTAAACACAGGATTTGTTGTTGGTGAGTCTCAAGGTCATGATTCACCCATTGCTTGGAATCTGAATCTACTGGGGACCACAATAGAGTTCAGAAGGAGAAATAAGTGAGGCCTGGGGATGGAAAGGCATATATGTCACTGACAGGGGCCTTGCTCCTTTGGCTGTCCTGTCATCCTCTTTTGTCACTATCACCACAGTCAAATTGCCCAGATAGGAACTCTCTATGCATGTTATGCCTTTACACACTGATCCCTCACAGAGAGGCCCTTGGCATGGCTAAGAGCCACTAAGAGTCACTAAGGTAACTATGAAAACTGTCAGGCCATGTTACCATTTCTTTCAAGGACAGACCCTCCTATGTCACCAGCTGTGGGTTTTATTGTAGGATAGAGTTGAAGCCTTCCCTCCCTCCCACTTAGCTCACAAGTGGTCCATGCACACTCAACCCATCCAGCCAGTCCTTGGCCCTTTCATCATATTCATAGATGTTCTTTGCACACCTATATTCCCAAATATCTGAGAGGCTGAGGCAGAAAGATGACAAGTTCAAGGCCAGCCTAGGCAATTTAGAGAGACATTGTCACATAATTAAATATATGATGAAGATGTATTTCACTCCCCAGTACTATTTAAAAAAAAGGAGGGGAAATGGGCAAATTCAACTTACAAAGAAGAGAATAGTGAATTTGAAAAGTTTTGAAACTTAGCATGGATTTACATCAAATAAACCATCAAGGAACTTTGTAGCTTTTCTTTTAAATCCAGCTAATTTGATGTTTCTCTTTGTGCCTACTTTTAAGTGCTTCATAAAATAATGTTTACTAAACAGATAATTTTATAAAACTTGTCTGCTTAAGGTCCTGTCCCCATTGCTTACTTTTGAGATTGTGTGGTTATTCACACCATTTAGGGAAAAATACATGCTATTGAGATGATTAAAGATATCATCAAGGCACAGAGGATATATTCATATTTTCTATAAAAAATGGAGATTAATAATTTACAAGGTAAATTTTCTCACTTTTAGAGAGTAAAGGAATTGAGTAACTAGCTGGCAAAATCAGACCTCACCCAAGAGTTTTACATCTGTTTTTTTGTGCAGGGGATTTTAGACATGGAGTTACTGTGATCCTTTGAAAGTGTGGCCAATGCTAAGTCTTTGACAGCAGCTTTGGTCTCAATGGGGCTGCTTGGTTCCCATGCAAACTTCCAAGTGGAGGTTCGAAAACAGTGTTGAATTCAGTGCATGAAAAATTTTCCCCAGGGAAATAAATACAGCAACCAAAACCTAGAACCTAAAGAATACATGCCTTGAAAAACAGTGAAACTAATGAAAAGGCAGCAGTAAACACTGTCGGGCCATGTGACCATTTCTTTCAAGGACAGACACTCCTACCTCATCTGGTTTGGGTTTTATTGTAGGATACAAATGAGGCCTGCCTACGCTCCCACTTAGCTCTTGAACCATCGTGATGCCTGCACGAACTTACTGATGGATAGCAAGTTAGAGAAGCATCTACTTCTATGAGACGGGCATTTTTGGGGCTCAGATGAGTGATATTAGTATATACATAGTCATCAGCTGTCAGGATTGAGTAGAAAGAAGGAAGAACTGAGAATGGGGCAGGGAGTTACTGGGATGATTTCTCGGGATGGACCACAGGGAGATTCAGGGCATAGGAGAGGTCCACTATAATTATAAGTGGGCATGGATTATATGAACACAGATGGAAATGAGTTAGAAAATGGTGGGATAGTATGTGGAATTTCACTACATATTGATTCTCTACTTCCAGTGAAAAAGCATTTCCATCCACTAGGAGTGAGGATGGGAATGAGATCCTGGAGCTTTTGGAAGAGAAAGGGAAGAGAAGAGAGGCAATCTCATGCATCAGTGAGATTGCAGGATTACAGGCAACCACATGTGCATTTGGCATTAGCAACTGGAAATTTCAGATGCAAAATAGACATTCTGGCAGCTCAGAACTATTAACAGAGCACATCATTTTCGTGCTTTAAATTCATTATCTCTAGTTAGTCCAAATCTCCTCTAATTGGGATCAATTTTGTGGTTGAATTTAGTGATTGAGAGGACTATCACAGCAGAGTGTATCTGTTGTCTGCAGAATAATGCCCACCCCTGAGGTTGCCGCAACCTAATCCCTGGAGCATGTAAGGGTGTTATATAACACACAAAAAGGAACTTTGTAAATGAGATGAATTAAGGTCGCTGAGATTAGATTATTCTGGATTGTCTGAGAGGGTACAAGCTAATTGTGCCCGTACCTAGTTAAAAGTGGAGGAACTTTCCCAACTGTAGTTAAAAAGGATGTGGTTATGGAAACATGGACAGAAAGATGCAGTGTTGTTGGCTTTGAAGATGAAAGAAGAGGCCAGAAGCCAATGAATGAGAGTGGCCTCCAGAAGCTGGAAAAGTCGAAGGATCAGATTTCCTCATAGAATATCCAAAAAGGAAAACAGCTTTGTTGACACCTTGATTTTCCCATGTCTAGACCCTGTATAGCTGTCTGTCTTCCAAACTCTAAGAATAATTTTGAGATGTTTGTCACCAAGTTTGGAGTCATTTGCTTCAGTAGTGATATGAAACTACTTCAATATCCAAGAGAATTATAATCTCAGAGTGTAGGGCCTACAGTAGATGATAAAGGAAGGTAGGAATAAATATGAAACATTTTTCTTGAGTAAGAATAAAAAATCTAAAGATTCCGTTATGACATTAGTTGTCCATAAAGTGAATATGGCTCCAAAATGAATATACCAACAGAGTATTTTTTGTAATTTCATTAAATTAATCTGAATATCATCTGAGCAAATAATTACAGAAAAATAGGGGAGATGTGATGAGGAAATCTAGTGAAGACAATCCCTTTCTATTTAATAAAATAGTGTATTACAAAGCAATTAAAGGATACTACACTGCTGCACAATCAGTGGGAGGCAATAGATTTCCAAAATAAACCTAAATGTACACAAGAATTTATTACATAATAAATATGTAGCATTTTTTCTTA